TTCCCTATTCTCATCTGCCTTATGAATGAAATCATTTTTATGTAAAGTGCCCAAGGAAATCAAATTCTTCTTCAGATTAGGAATATGTCTGACATTACATAATGCTTTAACCATGTCATCATACATCTTAATTCTGACTTCTCTAATATCAACAATATTGCAACATATATCATCACCCAAATAGACTGAGCCATAATTAGTTCACCTATATGAAGTAAACCACTATCTTTTATGTGTTATATGATAAGAGCACCTTGAATCAAGAATCCATGCATCCGTGAATCGAGTTGATGAAACTGAAAGCATATCACCATCACTGCAATCTGAATTGTCATTCTACACCACGTTTACAGACTTTGATGATGCATCACCTTTCTCCACGGTGTGCTTCTTAATGTTTGGACAATCTCTCTTCATATGACCTGACTCATTGCAATTGTAGCAATGAATTGGCTTTTTGTTTTTCGACTTGGATCTAGAATTTTGTCTTCTAGAACCCTTATTCTCTTTCTTCCTTCCGCGATACTGCTTACCCTTAACATATAAAATGTCGTTATGAGAGCTTTCTCATGCATTCTGCTTTCGCTGATTGTGAGCCAAGAATATTGCAGTAATCTCATCAACTTTAATAGTTTATTTCTCATATGTAATAGTAGTCACCAGGTGTTCATAGGAAGAAGACAATAAATACAACAAAATCATTGTGTGATCTTTATCCTCAATATTCACATCAAGCTGTGACAGGTCTGTGATTATTTGATTGAAGCCATTAACATGCTGCATCAGATCAGAACCTCCTTGCATCTTCAGATCATACAACTTTTGCTTTAGATAAAATTTATTCGTTAGAGATTTAGCCATAAACTAAATTTTCAATTTCTTTCACACCTCCCTCTGGAGATTTTAGATTCATCATGTGATACATGACCTCATCTTCCAGATATAGGCGTATAGTTGTTGCCGCTCGTTGTTGTAATTCTTCTCATCTTCATCCTCTATGACATCTGATTTTGCTGCCCGCAAAGCTTTTAAGATTCCATGTTGAGCCAATAGATCTTTTACTTTTGTTTGCCACAATCCGAAGTTACCAGTTCCATCGAACTTCACCACCTTAAATTTTGCACCAAAAGTTGTCATGTGAAATTGATCATGCAACAAATTATTTTGCAAATTTTTGCTCAGAATCTTTTCAAAAAGAAGAAAAAAATTATTGAAAAGTTCTCTTAATTAGTTTCCTTAATAAAGTTTTCCAGAAAAACAAGAGTTTTTTTTAAGAAAAGATTGAAATATTTTCTTAATTAAGCTTCCTTAATTAAGTCTTCATTAATTAAAATATTTCATTTAATTAATTTAATTTTAAAAACTTTCATTTTTCCCGCAGCCTCCAGCAAACAAAATCTTAATTAAGTTTTCTTAATTAAATATTTTCTTTAATCAAACATTTCATTTCTCTAGAGATTCTCACGCATCTGCAGCAGGAGAAAGATTTCTCTCTTCAGTCTCCAGCAAAAAGATTTCCTTCCAATCTTTCCTGGTTTAGAAGATCCTACTCGCCCAGCCGCCTTTCGCTCCGAACGTTGCCCAACAGCCTTCCGCACAGAACATTGGTATGCCCACCAATCGCAGTTCGCAACTTCCTGGAAGAGAAGCCTCGCCGATTCGCAAATCTTCACGCGAACCTCCTTCCCGAAGCCTCCTGCAGCGAAGAACTCCTCCCGCTGCCGCAAATAGCGTCGTCAGTGACCGTGATTCACAAATCCGACAGCCTGCTCTTTCTTCACCGTCAAACTCCTCTGCCCTAGCCGAACTCCTTTTTTCAAACTCGCATGTCTGTCACGGGACTTCCCTATTCACAGGAACCGCGATTCACCTGCGTTGAACCGCCGAAGTACGTCAGTCCGAAGAAATAGCTGCAAAACTGTCGTCGAAAATTCTTCATTGCCCTCGAACCAATCTCTGATACCACTTGTTGAGAAATTAGTCCGAAGAAAAAAAATAATAATCGACACAAATCCAAAAGAACACAAAAAGATTTAACGAGGTTCGACAAAGATGTCTACGTCATCGGGAGCAGAGCAACGACTTTCTTTCAATATTCAAAATGGAGTACATGATACAGAATATGATAACACCTGGGGTTACATACGAGCAATTTATGACCCTAGAAAACCCTGGAGTACAATATGTAATTATCAAATTACCCCTGTACCTCACCGCCAACCCACATAAGGAAACTCCCCCCGCTCCAGCATATGTCCCTTATATGGTATATGAGTCATACCTAACATGGTTACATCATCCAAAGTCGTCATGTTCTTTCATTTACTCGGTAAAAATAGAAAATCAGTCAAACATGCTTAAAATGTTTTATTTTTCAATAACTATAGATTGCGCCATCCAAGGGACCTTTGTTGATTTGGGTGGGTGTATATCTCAAAAAATAAATTTAAGTAGAACTTAAACAATATTGTGTGTTTTTGCCAATCAGTTGTACCATTATGACTCGCAACTAAAATGACTGAAAGTCGTGGGAAACATGTAGTTTGTTGTAGTAATATAAATATGTCATTTAACAACAACTACCTGGCCAGAGGGCTTTGATCATAATCAATACTTTGTTGTGTCAATTAGCGACAAAATCATATGAATATAAGACTTGGGTCATGCCCTTACTGAGATGTGATTATTTTAAATGTGAAAATAATAATACAGCCCATATGATATGAACTTTTTGTAAACTGAAGATAATCAAAATTTATCACTTTTCACAAACTATTATGGAGAGTGAATGAAGTTCACTTTAAATTTTTAAGTGATTGATTTTAATTTAAATATTTTGAGTTGTTGTATTTTAGTATTCAGATGAGGGATTTTAATTTCCTTGTTTTGTTTTCTTGTTTTAACAAATTAATTTAAAAGTTGACTAGTCTTGTTGAAATATTTAATGAACGTAGTGATTTGAACCCAATCAACTTTTATTCTTTGTCATGATGAATTGAGCCTAATATGAACATATGTTGAATTTGAACATTGTCAATTATGCCCGAGCATATGATTGGATTTGAACATTATCAGCTCTATCCTGCTTAGAAACAACTGGGTTCAGGAATGTTTCATTAATTAGCACATAACATGCTCAAATTTATTTTGATTATAAAGGTTCAAGTTTGTAATTTATATCATTTGAATTTATTCAAATAATTTTTAAAGTATACCCTCTTTTTAAAATCTCTTATCAATTCACCCATCAATGAGAATGGATTGCTTGATTTGAATCCTTTCAGCTCTACTTCTTACTCGTAAAGGATTGAGTTTAATAGTGACACATGATTGTATATGAACATTGTGAACTTTGTTTTGTTTGCAAAGAATAAGATTCAAATATATATATATATTCAGATAGATTTTGAAACTTAATTTTGAATTGACACCTCAACGGTTTAAATATTTTATCAACTTGCCTACATTGGGTATTTAAGCATTAGAAACATATATATATATATATATATTATTTAAAATTTTAAACATGAATATTTATAAAATATCAGTATTGTCAACTCCAATCCTTATGAAGGGGAGAATCATACTAGATAGCTCGGACTTGTAAATTTTTTATCTTTGTGATTTTAGTGTTATTTTAGAATCACTATACTCATCAATTCTAATTCTTAATATGAAAAGTATCGAATTAGTTTAGTGTGACTTACAAGTTTACCCCCATAGACAACACACAGGACAACTACAAATTTGCATAATTTGTCTTAAAATTGATTTCAAAATAATCATTTATTCTTTTAAAATAAGCACACACAATAATCTTAGTAAAAACTATTAAGTGCAAATTTATCTTTTGATATGACATCAATAAACTTATTATTTGAGACTAGTTTCAAGACATAAGACGAATCTTAAGTAAATTTTTTTAGCAAATAATGAACAAACTGCAATTAAAAATCATTCAAAAGTATAATATCAAAAAACTTATAGTCAAACTTACTTGCTCAAAGAGACAATTCTAATGATATCAAAGTTAGTCCAATCCAAGTCAAATTATGCCTATAACAAGCCATTAAACCTCTTTCCAAAGTATTTAGTGCATAATTGGAATATCAAATAAATTCAAAATTTAACAAACTTATAGTAAAATCGAGTATCTCAACAAGACGAATCAAACTAGCCTGAGATAGCTCAATTATGACATTATGAAGATACTCAAATATTTTTCAAATGTGTTCCAATCGAGAAAATATACTCAGGCCGCCCGATCACAGAGGTATGAATTCCTTCATTATTTATAATATAAAGTCTATGAATAGAGTCTTACGTCCACTTGAGAATATCTCAAGTTAGAAGGAGACTAAAACTTCATAGAATGAACTGAAGCCCAACATCATTTATAGATCATAGTTAAGGCTAATATCTGTCGCTCATGCTGTCGTTGATCGCTATTGAACACCGCCCACAAGCTGCCACTGACCACCGTCGAGCATCGACCGCCCTTGACTTGTTACAATGAAACCCACCATCGGGAATCAAGACATGTGTTGCATAATCTCAACAAACATTACATTGTAACGAGACATCCTACAAAATAACACAACTCTCGTATGGTGCATTGGCCTCTCCTAAAGACAGTGAAATAATGCACCATCAATATGGTTTAAGGACACACCCCAACCACTATGTAAAACAGACGCCTCACATACAAGCAACGATGTCTCCCAAAAACAGAATAACAATGGACTGTGAATGCACTGACTTCCTCTATACTCCAAAAACTCTCTCAAAATAGCTAACTACTATGACTTACATCGTCCACAATTTATGTAGCTTTTGAATCTGACCCCTGTTGCTTGCTTACGAACGTCATCATAGCTCACAACTAAGGCCTAGGTGACCGACTATGATCTATATGATACACAACACGTGCAACTCTTGATTCCGATCTTTGCGGTCCGCAAACATCATGACATCTCACGTAGCTTTCGGCTCTTATCGCAATGGCTTACAGAAGCCATTGCAGCTCACCAAACGACTTATGTGACAAAGTACGCCCTATGTTGCTAACAACTAGTGCAGCTCCTAACTCATGCTCAAATCGCCTGCTAATATTATCACAGCTCATCAATACGGTCTACATGACCAACTATGACCTACGTGACTTATAGATTATGTATCTCTCAACTCCGACCACTATAGCCTACGAATATCTTCACAGCTCACCACTATGACTTCTGCCACCAGCTACATCATATGTGACCAACTACGACTTACGTGGTTCTTAGCTCGTGCAACTCTCGAGACTACAAACATTATCATCGTTCATTACTATGACCTATGTGACCAACCACGGTAAACATGACCCAAAACATCTATAACTTCCTGCTATGACCTCTTTAGCTAATTATAGCTTTTGAAGCAACCATTTGAGGCATGCAGAACTTCTACAATGTATTTCAACTACGAACTATATGACAAGCTAGTACTACAACGCAAACAACATTCATGACTAACTACTTCATCAACAACAATCGACTTCCCCTCCAACCTGTTATCACTAAGGGATATAATCAGAATATTGTTATTATTCATTGACTACTGTTTGTAATGTAAAATGACATAATTAAAGTTAAGAATGAAGCTGTATACCCATCCTTAAAAGTGATATATATATGCCGCATTCTTTGTCCAGTTGGTAGTCAAGGTAACTGTAAGTTCTCTCTAGCAAGGGTTCCATCCCATCCGTAGTGCGTTGGAGGTCGGATCATAGACACATGGTGCGGGGTTCTCATCATAGGCCCTGAGCGTATGAGAAATCGATATTTGTGTTTACTTATATATATATATATATATATATTATATATATATATATATATATATATTAATTGTATATATTGCCGTGCGTTTCGTTTCTGGAATCAATTTTTCTTCCCGGCTCCGTTAGACCTACGGATTTGCAGAGGCATATTCGTGGAGAAGTTTTGTTATTTCTTCTTGTTTCAGCGTCCAAAACCCTCCCAAAACCCTATTCTCACATTTCCTTGATCGTAGAAATATATCAAAGCTGGAGTTCGCGAAACCTCTGAGGATCACGAGGAGCAATTCTTCGAGCAGTAATACCAAGCTATGGGTCATCGCCGGCCTCAGCTTCGTCGGCGTTCTGATAATTGCCGAGTCCGCTCGTCGCAGGAGAAAGGGTTCGAGTGAAACCTCTCCTCACGTGAAGGATTTCGGTGCTTTCATTGAACGATTCGAACTCCTCCCGGCACCGCAGCCGCCGCCTCCTGCCGCACGGCACCCCCTCTCGAACCTCACCTTCGCCGTTGCGGACAAGTTTGTATTCGCTGACTGTGCATCGGTACAGGTTTAATGGTTTCTTTTAATTGTTTATTTATTTGTTTGATATCGTGTTTCTGTTTGTTCGGTGTTGCAGTTTTGATGTCAAGAATTCAGTTTCTGGGTTTGGGAATCCAGACTGGAAGCGGACGCATGAGCCAGCGGGCAAAACGGCAGTGGTGATCTCATTGTTGCTGCAGCGGGGAGCCACTTTAGTTGGGAGGACGGTTATGGATGAACTGGCTTTTGGGTTGGTTTTTTCACTAATTTGATTTTGAATCATACTTACAGTTTCAGTAGTTATCACGAATGGGCACAAAAGAGTTTCTATGGAGCAGACCCCAAACTGTTTGGAGAAAGAAAATGGTGATGCTGATAAGGAAAAAAGACATATTTTTACATGGCTCAAATCAGGATGTATTAAAATTTTAATCTTTATATGTTTGTGTTTTGCTCCCCTTAATACGGTGATTTTGCTACGTTTTCCCGTTCATTTTTATATTTATGGTTATAAATCTGCATAGAATGTTTTCCATGTCTGAAAAAGACTACTACGAGTAAATTATTACAGATTATTCTAATTGCCTTTACGAAAAGGATAATGCATACATAACAATTTCTTATTTTGAATGGATATCTAGAATTCCATCCTCATATTATGAATAGAAGCATTTTTCCCTGAAAATGATATACCGAGCGCATGGAACAACCATTATTTTGTCAGGTTGTAAATTCCCTGATTGGCACAACAAAAGATGATTGAGTTATCCCTCTTTTCCGCAAAAAGAGTTTTTGCAGGAAGTATTATTTTACTTCTGCTTTTAGTGTGGATGTTCAGAACAGTTTTTCAATCCCATGTATTGAATTAATAAATTTTCTCAGCGTCAGTGCATGCAAACCTTCTGTCTCTATTTTATGAAATTGGTAATTGTTGCATGCAGACAATTTTGTTATTGTGGAGAGTTAATGTTATCTATCCATGATTGTTGCACCTGCCATACTTTTAAGGAAAATAAATGGGAGCGTATTCATTTTAACTCATGTTTCTCTGTTCTTGCAGAGTCACAGGTGAGAACTTGCATTACGGCATGCCGATAAATCCAGAATCATCTTTGCAAACACCAGGAGGATCATCTAGTGGTTCTGCTGTGGCAGTTGCGGCGGGTCTCGTTGACTTTGCCCTTGGTGTGTTATCTTTCTGTCTAAACCATTGGCTTGTTTTTTGTTTTACTAGCCTTATCCCTTGAATTATCCATGTTAAAGAACCGTGTTGTAATTTCCATTTCATTCATACAACTTATGTCTTATTTTAAAAATAATATTGTTTGTCAATATAAATCAAGGTTTCTTGCCAAGACTGAGAATTAGAAGTGGTGGAACTAAAAAGGGCAAGAAACTCATATCACGTTCTTTTCAAATTTAACACAAACTTAAATCTTTACCCGCTTTTTAAAGCCCATACTCTTACTTTTTCCGCTCACTATTATAGAATCTTTTTGCTAGTTGTCTGCATAATCTTTTGAGACGAATCATCTTTTTCTTGGCATATATATAATCTCTCTCTCTCTCTATATATATATATATATATATATGCATACAATGATCAAAGCCATGCAGGCTGATGCTTCTTGGCATATTTTTGTTTTGCTATTGAGAAATAATTAGTATTCTTTGACAATTTTCACAATATCTGGTTATTTGAGTCTGCTTTTGCCAATGCAGGTACTGACACAATTGGATGTGTGAGAATTCCAGCTGCATTTTGTGGCGTTCTTGGTTTTAGATCTTCTCATGGGATTGTATCCAACATTGGAATTTTGACGAACTCACAAAGTCTATGTGCTGTAGGTGAGTCTCGTATATAATTTTCACTCATCGCATGGCTTTAATAGTTCTGTACCACGACGTAACACTTGGTGTTTACGCGAAGAGAGCTTGAAATTAAAGTCGGTTAAATTAATTTATTTGGTAAATTAAATGTCTTTATTTTATAAGGTAAAAAGTTTTCTAATAAATTACAAAAAATTAAAGTAATCCTTGTTTTTTTTTTAATTCAACACATTGACTGAGTTTACATTGCAGGGCTTTTTGCACGAGATCCATCTATTTTTCATCGTGTTGGGCACTTATTGTTGCAAGCATCTCAAACGGTTGTTAAACGGGAAAAGCGATTTATATTTGCTGATGATTTCTTTCAATATTCTAGGATTCCAAAGCAGAAAACTGTGCATGTTTTAAGCAAGGCCATTGAATCTCTTTCTGGGTGTAAGTTTGCCATCCTTCAATAACCTAAATGCTATGATTGCACTGGCCACTCAGGCTTATATTTCAATATATTTTGGCTGCAAATTGTTTGTCGATGTTTTACCAAACCATTGATTGCCATTTTTTTTTTTCGCAGACCAACCAGCCACGCATATGAATGTTAGTCAGTACATTGCTTCAAATGTACCAAGTATAAAAGATTTTTGCGATCCCTCTACGAAACTGCACCAAGGAACATCAATTCTGCAGGCACTTTCAACAATAATGCTATCACTTCAAAAGTATGTTATTTAGGATGTGAATTTTAAATGTTATTACAAGTTACATCTTTTTTTTAAATCTTTTTTTCTTTTTTTTTTTTTTTTTGCATTTGCTGATTACTTGTTTATTACAAGCATAAAATATAACATTATTGGTAGATTGACTTACAAATATAAGGGATACAAATTTTTGTGGTTTTTCTGCTCTAAAAAAATTATAAGTAGATTAACTTCAAATTATAGGCTTCATGACGTCATATTTAAAATTTTTTAGAACTCTAAAAAATTTTACATTGCAAAATTGCAGTCCATTTCAAAAATTGTAATGAAAGGCACACAATATAGTCATTCCAGAAAATGCTTTCATATTTCATGTCTATAATTTGTGAGCAAGCTTTTTAAGCACTTAATCAGCCATGAGGAATTCAATATACTTATTTGAATTAATCGCAAGGACATTTGATTGTTAATAGTGCGTGTACATGGAACAATTTCTGACCTCAGAAATGACTTATAAACACACTGTTTTTAGAAAACTGAAATGAAATATTGACTTTTGAATTTACTTTGCTTCCTCAAGCTGTCATGTTATAAAAATGTCAAAGTATCATCTATACTATGCTCTAAATCCAAAAGAGAATAGGAAAAAAAAAAATGGGAGAGCTTACTGGTTGAAGATTTGTGCTTACTAGCTCCTTACTGTGTAAGCTGAGTAGAACTGGAGGATGTTATCTCCACTACCTCATTCCACTTTAAATTTTTATAAATTGGATCATCTATGATGAATAAATGACATTGCTAACAACACTACCAGATATGAGTTCAAAACAAACCATGAGGAGTGGATCAGCACCGTCAAGCCCAGGTTGGGGCATGAGATCTCAGCACGTGTACGGGCTGCATTAAACTCAACACATGACAATATTAAATATTTGTATAAAGCCAGGGCAGAACTTCGTGCTGCACTCAGTAGTCTCTTAAAGGTAATTTCGTTGTAGGTTTCTCATGTCATTTTTAGTTGTTTCCAAGTAATTTTTTTCTGATTTTCTAATTTATCTTGATGAAAACATGCCATTTTGAGGAGAAAATTAATTTAATATTGACTGAAAATTTGTGACTTTATCATGCATACGTGAGTGTGTCGAAAGGAGGATTATGTCCTCAATTATGAAGACGTAAAAACAACAATAAAAATACACCTTTTTATGTAGACTTTCATATGACATTACTTCCTATAACCACAGTCACTTCATGCTGGAGCATTCTCTCTCTTTTTCTGTGTGTGTGTGTGTAATTTTCTTCATCAAATAAGTGTGGTGTGGAGTGATGTTCTTTTTTGATAAGACTGCATCTCTGAGGATGTAACGATTTGTTTTTATATTTTTTGGTTCTTTCGCTGAAGATAGGATTGCTTGCAATGGAGGTAATTTCTTGATTATTACAATTCAGGATTATAAGCTGTATAGCTTGGAAGCCAAATTCTTCAACTAGTTTTTAATCCCATTTTATTTTACTAACTTCCTTCTTACAACTCTAGGCAAAAACTTTTCACCCATAAAGAGGCTGCATGCTGATGCGGCATTTTGAATCTCAATGTATCCAAAATTTTCTCTATCAAAATAAGTGCCATCTTTAAATTATTTTTTTTATAGTATATGAGACCTATTTTGGGATATTTGTTGCTAAACTAAAAATTTTTAGGACAAAATTTGAGTCTTTTTTTAAGGTTTTGTTTATAGTAAATAATCACATCAACAACATATGACATATCTAGTCAAGTGGCATTAAGATAATTTTTCCAACCCGGCGTTGATGGAGAGAATCATTATTATGGATTTCACATTCTAGGATGATTGTAGAGTTTCCATTGGATAGTTGGCACTTTGCGACCAATAGGGTTGATTTATTCAAGAACATAATTATCATGTATTCATTATGAAAAAAATTTTCTTTCCTTTATACAAACTCGACACTATTTAATTTTTTTGGCTTTCCCAAAACTTTAGAGATACGTGTCTTTGACAAATACTATTTTAGTTCAATGATCTCTCAAGCATTACTATTGGTGAGTAGAAAGCAATCAACGTTGACATCAAGAATAGCTATGTCAAAGTAAGAACAACAATTAAACACAGAGTGATGAAAAATATGGCTTTTTAATCTAATATTAACAGGAGCCTTCAAAGTTTATCCAACAAAGCGCAATAACTTTGTTTGAACCCATATATAGCTTTTTGAAGGTTGGGAATTTTGTTTTCCCATTAATTAACATGCCTTTTAGATTCTCCATATCGACTTCAATAACATGTCCATGGAAAAACATTATTGACATTCATTTGAGCATAGTGTCACGGCTAACTTTTCTCTACTCACTCGTGCGGCTTTAAAGCTCTTCTTTAGCACTAAATCAGCCTAATTTCCCTCACAACACTTGGACTTGTAAGCACAAAGCCTCTAAGAAGAAGAGTAGGGTGAAGTATTGGAGAAAATAACACTTCACTAAGAAAAACAATTACAACACTTGAATGTTTGGAAGCTTAGATTCTTTCTTAGGTGATTACAAATGAGGGGACACACTCTTACTTATAGCCCCCTCCAAGCCTTTGGGAACATTCTAGAATACATTAGATTATTCTAGTTGAGAGTTCTACACTCTTTGAGAGTTCTACACTCTTTTCTTATGTACATACATAGCCCTAGAACTTTCTAGGTTATTCTTGAGTTTTACTTGGAGTTTTTCCGTCTAGCATTCTCCGGAATATGGTGGAATCTTTTAGAGTGATTACAAATGAGGGGACACACTCTTACTTATAGCCCCCTCCAAGCCTTTGGGAACATTCTAGAATACATTAGATTATTCTAATTTTCAGAGAGTTCTACACTCTTTTCTTATGTACATACATAGCCCTAGAACTTTCTAGGTTATTCTTGAGTTTTACTTGGAGTTTTTCCGTCTAGCATTCTCCGGAATATGGTGGAATCTTCTAGAGCCCCTTGGATGCCTCTCTATATTTTGGCCTTCTCTAGAACCTTCTATCCTACGAGTCTCTTGCCAATTTCTAGAATATGGCGGAGCGTGACACTTTCCCCCTCTTAAGCTCGCAATGCCCTCATTGTGATTTCCCCTTGACACTCAAATGGACTTCCTTTGTTTGCTCTTGGCAAACTTGAGTTTTTCCTTGGTCGTTTGGGGGAGGGCTCTCATGTAGTGAGACTTCATGGCTGACTACTCAGTCTTTGGCTTCAGCCTAATCCGACGATCTTTCTCCGTTTTTGGTGGTAGTTCTTTAAGAACCTCGACCACTTCCCTTGATAAGTCTTTTTGGGTCTCCACCACTTCCCTTGCCAAGTGACTCTCTTATCTTTTGTAATGCTCTCCTTGAATTGAATGACTAATAGCATGTTGCCTTCCTGCTTGTTAACTCTTATTATTGGTACTAAGCAAGCTTGGTTGTCTTCATGATGCACATGCTATTGACAAAGAGCATTGAGAATGCTCTTGCTTGATCCAAGAAGTTAATCCCCAAGAAAATTTTAAAATAATCCATAGGAATAATAGAAAAGTCTAAGATACCTAACCACGTTCCAATGCTGGTCTTTATCCCTCTGACTATTCCGTGGATTGGCCTTGCTACTGAATTGACGACTTTGATGAAGCCTCCTTCTTCAATCATCCGCAAACTCAACCTCTGTCCTTCCACGGAGATGAAGTTGTGAGAAGTGCCCGTGTTCACCATTGCCTTAGTGGTCTTCCCACCTATTTTCATCTCCACAAAGAGTAACCCCTTTACCCGGGGTTTTGCTGGAGCTTGCATCCCATTCAGCAATTGTATAACTCAACTTGTGCTGCCATATCACTTATCTCTTCCTTTTGATGGCTTGCTAGGAGAGAGTTTAGAGTCTTCTTCTAAGGGCAATCCCTTGCCCAATGAGGTCTTCCACAAAGAAAGCAGTTGTTATGCAGTTTCATTTTGTTATTAGACTTCCTCTTGTCTCTTGCCTTGGATGGGGTTGATTCGCGAAGACTCTCCTCCTTATCTTGATCCTTGCCTTGCCCCTCTTTGACATATGTATTCTTCTTATCCTTTGGCTTTGTGGATTCTCTTGGGTAGTCAACTAGGCTTTCAACGACTGCGATGACAGTGACAAGATTTTGCACCCCGCGTGTCCTAAACTCAGTCTTTGCCCATTGTTGGATTCCATCCATAAAATTGAACATAGCGTCCTTATCTGACATATCAGGGATTTCAAGGACCAAGCTAGTGAACTCTTTAATGTACTCCATGTCGGTCAACTTTTTCGATAGATTTGAAAATATGGTATATGAAAATAATTTTTGAAATTTAATTTAAGTATAAAAGTTATATATAGTTTGAGTTTTAAAAGTAGTATGTTTTGATTTTTGAAAAGTGAAACCAAGTGGATCTCATTCGTCCAATAGTTTGCATAATCGTACCTGATACCGCGAATACTACACCCTCCCGAAAGATAAGTGTAGACCTCGGCGATAGATCCAATCCTGCAAATTAAGAGATTTGTGACATCTGTTTAATCTGCGAACCTTTTATATATGACCCACAAGTTCCCCTATCTAATACAAAGATTAAATAGAGTTTATTTTACCTGGGTTCCAAGTTCCCTATAGAGGCAAACCCCTATAGTTAATTACATTCCAAATAACAGGAGTCTCTTGAGAAAACTCTCGATAATGATCAATGGTTCTAGTCTTTAAGAATTCAAGGTTCAGGTTTTCAAGGTAAGATGAAGAAAATCAAGTGGGAATGACTCAATGCGGAACACTTATTTTCAGGAGTACAAAGGAAGGAACAGGTAGGGGATGTCACTGATCCGAGGTAAATCTCGATGACTTCCCAGACTATCCTACGGTGTGGCTATATTTTTTTTAGAGACGATGTTAATTAATTGTTTAATCCTGTCAGTTTTATTATTTGAGACTTAAACTTGCATAATGTCTGATTATGCAAATAACCCATAGAGATATGAGGGTTTACATCGTATCATATGACAACCTTAGAACCTAAGTCGAGTTAGGACTTACACTGCACAACATAATTGTACAAGAGCCTAAAAAGGGAGTGTGAGGATTTACGACGCGCTAGGCGAGCTACCTCGAAATCCTATGAGTTGTTATTATGCTAAGGAAGAGATAATGCTGAAGAAGATCCTCTTGCCGCTCGGTCCAAGCTCCTCGTCGTGCTGCCCACAAAGTTGGCTCTAAGCTCCTGTCGTCGTGACAACTCAATGGTTTAAGTGTTTGAAAATTGTAGTTTATGTTTCACAGTTTTGGTGTCAAAGTTTGGTTTTATTTTGTTTTGATTTTGGTTTCAGATTTGGTTTTGCATGCAGAGTAATCAAATTGCAGGTAAATAAAAATGTACTTGAAAAGTAAACTGCAGTAAAGTAAAATGCTGTAGATACTGTAAAAGCGTACCTGAGCATCTGCTACTGTTATGTTATTAATGTTGCGAGCATAACATGATTTGCCATAACATGATTTGCCGGAGATTTAAATAAACTTGCAAGAAAACTAAACAAGACGTAAAAACTTAGCACAAATGTCAGAAAAACGAGTCGTATAAATCACAAGCAAACGAAACACTTAGCCACATATGAAAGATCAAGAGTGGGTATAAGACCTTGGTGAAAGTAAGGGCTCAGAGCTGGGCTGTGTGCTTCCCGATTATGAACAGGAGTTACCGGTCCGACAATCTACAGAAGGCATTCGTTAACCTCAATCCAAGTGACTAGCCGTGGACTTTTATAAATTTTCATAGAAATATTTTCATGCAAAAATTATTATTTAAGTCTTTTTTATGCATAGTTCTTTTAATCATGCAAAAGAAATTTTTGTTTTATTTTTATAAATATTTTGTAAAGTCGTTGTTATAAATCATGCAAAAGTTATTATTTAAGTATTTTTGTTTTATTTTTATAAATATTTTTATAAATATTTTAGAAATTT